TGCACGCATCCACGACGCCCAGTTAGCTCAGTTGGAATGTGAAGGCCTAAGGTTACTCCCGATGGCTTGGTTTGCAGAAGGCCGCATGCAGGAGTTGTGCACGATCAGAGTACCACCGCTTCGCTCTGCTGAATTCTTAATTCAACTGGATGGCAAGCTAGCGAGAGATAAGAAGTTTAACTTGACGTTCCTCCGTGAATTCCTCATGAAGCCGTGGGAGATCCAGCCCGCAAACACGAGCACGTCGACCCCAATCCAGGGATCTGGGAGAGCCACCTTGAATAGGTAGACTTAGTTTGGCCACGTGGAATATGCGCGGCCTGGGAGACTCGGGAGGTAAGTACAAAAAAACTAGGCTAAAATCGTGGCTACACAAGAAGCGAATTCACATAGCCTGTCTCCAGGAATGTAAGCTAAGTGAGCAATGTATCTCTCAATTGGGGTCTTGGTGGGACGGCCCCCAAATTTGGTCCCCGCCACAAGGAACCAGAGTCGGGGTGGCGATTCTCCTCCATCGTGATGCTGGCATTGAGATTATAGATTACTATGCGGATCTATGGGGCCGTTGGGCTTGGGTTAAGCTATGGTTAGATAACGAGGAATGGCTAATCACCTGCATCTATGCACCGACGGATAGGAAAGAGAGAGCAAATTTCTTTGTTGACCTACTGGCTATTATACTGGACTGTACTAACTTTATTATCGTAGGCGGCTGAAACACTTCCCTATACTTAGAGGTTGCTAAACCAGGTAGCCAGAATCCGATTGATGTCCTGACCCTCCTCAGCCTAATGGATAGCCTAGCCCTGATTGATCCCTACAGACTTGCTAATCCTCAGGAAGACGGTTACACCTGACACTCCAACTTTTGTGAGGGAGTTGGAATTACAAGGAGAAAGTCGTCTTATTACAGCTGCACACAACTGTAGCAGCTTGAGGGAAAGGCTACTTCAAATTTAACGTGCAGAACTTGGAGGATCCAGGCCTCGTAGCTTGGATGAAGAGGTTTTGGAATGACTGGATGCGGACGAAGCAAGAGTAATCTTCTTTAGATGAATGGTGGCATGCGGGTTCAGTGATGTTCTCCAATCACTTAAATGTCTATTCTCGAATCTTGGAAGTAAAAAGGAATAAGGAGGAGAGTGCATTGAAAAGGAAAATTGCAATGGTAGAGAGAAGAATGAACGGTCACCCGATTTCTCAGGCAGTTTGGGGTAGAGAGAGAATTAAACTGATAGCGGAATGAGATGCTCTCCAGCAAAAGAAGTCAGAAGTCTGGGTAGATCGATTAAGAGTTAGGGGAATTGTTGTCTACGATAGAATGAGCAAGGAATCCTTCAAAAAACTGGTACCGAGGCAAAAAACCCTGCCAATCGTCGAACGGGTTCACCCTTTCGACCCCCAGGCCCCCCGTGCGAAAGACCTAATCAATCTAAGTGAATATGTTGCCCTGTATTATAGGGACATTCTCACTTCCAGACTACAGGGTAGTAACGTAAACATAAATATTTTCTTGGGTTCATCTCACTGGGAAAACTCCTCGGTCAGATTGTCACAGTCCTCTCGCCTTCTCTTAGACAGACCCATAACAAATGAAGAAGTCCTCCAGACACTGAAATTAATGGCTCACGGGAAAGCCTCAGGGGACGATGGAATGCCAGTTGAATTGTACCTAGTAATCTAGGAGGAGATAGGAGGCAACCTAGTGGAAATATACAACTCAGTACTGACAGGGGGAAGACTACCAAGGAACATGCGCAATGACATTATACCTGTCCTTTATAAGAAAGGAGGTAAAAACAGACATTAGGAACTACCGGCCTATAGCTCTGTTGAATGTGTGGTATAAACTTCTGACCAAGACTCTCGCATGAAGATTGGGCATTGTTCTCCCATCTCTGGTCAAAGAGGACCAAGCCGCCTTCGTACGAGGCAGATCTATCTTGAGAAACATAGTAACAATTGTCCAAGTCTTGGAGATCATAACAGACTCAGACTTAGACGTGATGGTGCTGCTTCTTGACTTGGAGAAAGCATACGACCGAGTGAATTGGTCGTATGTCTTATCCACGCTCAAATGGTTAAACTTCGGTGATAACTTATATACCTGGGTAACAACTCTGTATGTTTTCTCAACAACAGCTGTAATGGTGAACGGGAAAATTTCGAATCAGTTCTCTCTAACCCGCTCGCTCAGACACGGATGCCTACTCGCGCCCCTGCTGCTTGTAACCCAGTTGGAAGTATTACTAAATAACATTAAAGCGCACCCACATATTCAGGGACTCCCGCTAGGAAACCTGGACTGTCGTGCCAAAGCATTGACAGATGATCTATTGGCCGTCTCCAAAAACACCCCGGAGTCACTAGGCGCACTCAAAGCCTGCTTAGAAGAGTATTCCTAGCTCTCTGAAGCATCAGTTAACTGGCACAAGTCTGTCTTTCTGCTTCCGGACCGCTACACCCCAAGTGCGAGATGGGGAATGAAACAAGTAGGTTGGAATGAATCGGAGAGGTTCTTGGGTGTACAAATAACATTAATGGATTGTTCCGCGGATCAGGATGGATTACTCCTGCAAAAGGTACGACACATATTAGCTACATGGGGGAAAGCCCCTCATTTGTCGATCTTTGACAGAGCTATGATCTTGAACTCCTCGTTGTTCACTCTCCTCTGGTTCATTGAAACAGTAAGAAGACTCGGCCAACAACTGATTCCCATGTTGAGACGGCGAGCAGCAAAGTTCCTTTGGAAACCTTATGCGGGTGATAACGAATCCTTTATGGGCACCTATTATCAAGGCATGGCGCAGACTACATCCAAACGTTTGGGAACAGCCTGTCACAAAATAGGAGGTCTTCAACGAACCAATTTTCGAAACCCCCCACGTCTGTGACAACACAGGGAACTAGTCGAAGGCAGACACAGCCCCAGACAACTTCGGCATAACATGGATGGAACGAGGAGTTGTCACCATCAACGACTTGTGGAACCAAACACTTAATTGCTGGAAGACTAAGTCAGAACTGCAATAATCATTGGGAGCTGTCAGGAATCTGGAGGAAAAGTCAGCAATTGTTATCGCTGCAATTCCGGAAGCCTGAAATAACTTAATTGATCCAGCGAGACTAGATCCCTCGGGCACTTGGTATCAGACCTCCGCTGCACAGCCTCTAACGGACTTCTGGAAACTCCTATCTCACTCGGATGGTAAGAGAGTTTTCCAATGTTGGAAACCACAGGACTACGAAACAGAGTCCCAGCCCCTAAGACCAGTGGAAAACAGACAACCTGAATTGGGGGAGAGGTTGGAGCAGGTGAGATTGATGGAAGAACAAGACGAAAATGGTAATCCGACGTATTCAGTCCTTTCAGATGGACTGCCAGTCTCGGCACTGAGATTAGACCCGACATTGTGGACTTGGAGAGCAAGGGGAAAGAACGGAGAGAACTTACCTCTAACCAAGTATCAGGCTCAACTTGGATATAAGCTCTTGGCTCCTCCACGCCAACCCCTAACAGTTGCAGTATGCAGATAGTTGCAGGTTCTCCAACTCCCGCCTGATGAGATCAGAGCCACCATTTCAAAGTGTTGGGAACAACTCAAACTTATCCCCAACCAGCGACAAGCAGCGCTGCTATGGCTCCTATCCTTTCTTGCGACTCCGTCAGCGGTATGGCTGACACAGAGAGGGATCCAGGTTGAACTCACATGCCACAGGTATCAATGGGCGTTTGCATCCAACCCCCATCTACGGTGGGACTGTCCAAGTTCCCACCGTATTTGGCAATGGTGGAACAGGCACTGGTCCAAAATAACAAGAAGGGTTCTGCCCTGGTCCAGAGAATGGGTACTGCTAGTAGGTATCCCTGACTCCCTGCAGAAAGAAGTGGGTTGGGGTTATGTTGCTCAGACGGCTAGAGCAGTAGGCATGAAAGTGATTTGGAAGGAGAGGAACTGCGTAACTTTGAACAACAGAGAACTCACCAACAAGGAAATCCGGTGCTCATTCCGTACTCTACTACGTAGAGCCATCCAAGCGGCAAGGAAGGGAAGAGGTGGTTTGTTTGCACTTGGTGCATTGTGGACAGATTAGCCCGGATAACGACAGCTGGAAAACTAGAATTGGATCAGTGGTTCTTCGAAAAGTAGTGCAGAGGTAGAGTAGCACCTCCTTGTACCAGGGCACTCGGTTATTCTGCCGCAGTAGGCAGGCAGGGGGAATGACTCCCCGCCGGTGGATCAGGGTGGATGGAGTGTCTAGGTGCTTCAAGAGTCCTGTGGGGACTCTACCGCTGTGGATAGGCAAGGAAAGGAAATTTTGTGTCACTTAGATAGTTAGATAGGAGAGCGGGACTGGCCATTCAGGCCACGGTAGGCACCTTAGTAGGAAGGTCCCCAGTTTTGGGTTTGTGAGGTTTTTCTGCTATGATGGGTCCTTTGGTTCCTTTTGTTTGTTATTTTTCCTTTTTTACGGGGTTGTGGACCAGTCAGAGCAGCGGTCTGGTTTTGGCCCTTTTTCTGCTCTGGATGTCTTCCCAACGCCTGAACCAAAGCTGGGTAAAGGTCCCAGAATTCCTTTTCCGGGTTGTTTGTAGAGGGTTCCCGGCCTCTGTTTTACCTTTCCCCCTTGGGAAAATAGGGAAAAATGGCAGTTTCCCCAAACTCCTGACGACTGCCATTGATAAATCTGATAGGCGGCCGTCATTTCGTTTCGGCCTCTGAAAAGGTTGGACGCCTACCCGAGGCCCGCTATTTTCCCAAGCCACAAAGGTACTAGTGGTAAAAAAAAAAAAAAAAAAAAAAACTGCCCGCACTTTTGTCCCTTTCACATTTGGTGAGTGGCCAGCAAGGCAACTTCTCCAGTTTTTTTTTTTTAGGACTTCTCCAGGTTTTCATTTCGTTGGTGGCAGGGAGGGGCAGGGCCCAACCAAGGGGCCCAGACAATTGGCGGGTTCGAACTCAAGTCTCTATTTCAACAGTTCCTGGGCATGGCAATCTAGCTACCGTAGGCAGATTGGCTATTCAGACGCGCGTTGTTGTCTCCGCGCAGCGCCGTTGGGATTTCCCGTTGTTGCTCGCGCTGCCCAGGTACGAACTGCGTGCAGACCGGCGTGCGGAAGCTCTCTCTCTCTCTCTCTCTCTCTCTCTCTCTCTCTCTTTTTTTTTTTTTTTTTTT